ATGTGTCACGCTACACTGTCATTAGTTTTATGCAATAGTTATGGTGGAAACAGCAGGTGATAATGTTATAAATACTATATTCCCTCATATATACCGTGGAATTCGGAATTTGATGGTTTGTATATACACACGCACACACACATATATGTATATATGTGTGTGTGTGTGTGTGTATGTGTGTAAGTGTGTATGTGTGTGTGTGCGCGCACGCGTGTGTGTGTGTGTGTAGAAAAATATATATGTATATATATGTATATGTATATATATAGATAAATATACATGTATATATATATATATATATATATATATATATATATATATACATATATATATATATATATATATATATATATATATATATATATATATATACATATATATATATATATATATATATATATATATATATATATATATATATATGTGTGTGTGTGTGTGTGTGTGTGTGTGTGTGTATAGACACAGCTGATTCGTTTGTGTATGGAGTCTAATTCCTATTCTTCTGAAGGTCACTTCTACTCTCAGATGTTCGGTGTTGTCGTTGCAAACCTATTCATTATCATTATTCTAAGCTTCTTCCTTCCATCTCCCTTCGTCTTCGGTTTGGCTGAGGTATGTCGACGACGTCTTTAGTCTCTGGCCTCATAACCCTTCCCTGTTCTCGGGTTTCATGACACAGCTTACCTCTCTCTCTCTCTCTCCTTCCAACCGTTTCAAGGTGGAATGTACATACACTTCTCGCACCATCCACTTTATGTAAAGAGCGGTGTTGTCAGCGCCCTCCCAGTACTCGGATGGAAAGATCGACTTCTTGCGTCCTTCGTTCTCCAATATGTGCTACAGCCATGTTCTCGACGTCGCGTTATCCAGGGCGCGACGTACACATTAGCCATACTCCTGGTGACTGCTGTAGTCACAGCAGTGGCAACAGCCCTGGTGAGGACAAGTGACGAGGCAGAGACGGCAGTCACGGTCGCCATGACGGCAATGACCCAAACTGTCGCAGTCCTGAAGGGAAGAAAGCTAGAGTGAACAAAACCAGCCATACCCACACCCCAGCACTCCAACCGAGGCCATGCCTTCACAGGCAGAGCCAAAACAGGCTGAATCTGTGCAGCCAGAGCCAGAGCACGCTGACTTTGCCCAGGCAAGGCCAGCTAAGAGAAACAAAGATAAAATGCCTGAGAGAAAAGCAAAGTAACCACAGTCAGACCTACCAAAGGCTCCCCCCCCCAGTAGACCCACGGATAGCCTGACTACAGACGAAGACCTCTCAACCAGCGAGGACTTCGCAATGATATTGTCAGAGTCCGATTGTGATGACGTCTCAGATGTAACTATCGTCTAGTAACATCATGGCACACAACCTAAGCATCCTACAGTGGAACATCAATGACTTTTCCGGAAGGAATGCCATTTCCAAGCAGTAGTGCGATCAAGGAGCATTGACATTGTCATGCTCCAGGAGACACGAATAGAGGGCACTGTTTGCTTCTCAGGTATCATGTCTTCATGCTGCCACAATCAGATGGCAAAAGAGGCTTGATCACCCTTGTCAAAACAACAATCCCCTGCTCCGCAATAGCCGATGCACCGCACTGTGGAGACGAGGTAGAATCTCTTGCCGTCGAAATCCACCTGGCTGGGGGCCCCCTGAAACTGTACGTGTACAGCCGGCCAAGCTGTAGTGGCTTAGATATCAGCCAGTTCTGTGCGTCTGCTGCACAAGACCGAGTGATCAATGGGGGAGACTTCAATGCACACCACCCCATCCTGGCTCCCTGCCGGGCACTGGATGCGGCCGGCTATCAGATAGCCAACGTGCTTGAGACGTTCCCTCAGATTGCTCTCCTCAGTACCCAAGAGCCAACACATGTCAGATGTGGGGTACTAGACCTCACCCTGGTCACTGCGACTCTGGTGTAGAGGATTAGTTGGTGTGTTGATGAGACTGTCACAAGTGACCATTACGGCACGGTAACAACCCTCATGGATGCTGGCCCAGCCGAAATCCCACAACCAAATCCAAGATGGAAAACAGACAAGGCCAATTGGCAGGCGTTCCAGAACGCCTTGGCTCACAGTCTGAGATACAATGAAGCCACACAAACCGAAAATGTGGAAGTGCTCGAAGCCAGACTAATAGAACCAAGCAGCCTCACTGACCATACCCAAAACTCGGTCTGGGTCCAGGTGTCACAAGGACCCCTGGTACTTTAATGACGAGATCAGGGAGGTCAACCACAGGGTAAACATGTGCCGAGAACTATTTTGAAGGCAAAGAACCCCTGGCAACCTCGCACTGCTGAGGGAGGCTGTCAGGGATGCCAAGGAAACTGCCAACAGAGTCAGGCAGGAATGGTGTGAGTCCTTCGACCATCAAACCACCCTTTCAGAGCTATGGCATCGGGTCAGGTGAGCTACGAGCCGCTCAGCCCCGAGACGCACTACGACCCTCAAGCAGAGGCAAACAGACCAGCGCACGAGTTCTCTGTGAGAACTAGCAGCAACAGTCTGCCAGCCGAGCTGAGGGCAAAACAAGAAAGCCTACAACCAGACAGACTTGCTTAGATCAGAGAAAGGGCAACCGAATCCGATAACTCAGATGTTATCTTTTCTCTGTGGGAACTAAGAAAAGCCTACAAATTCAGTTCTAACACAGCCCCGGGCTCTGATGGGATCTTGTACCCCATTATCTCCCACCTAGGACTAGAAGGTGAATTTGCACTCCTACAACTCATCAAGTCCTGGGAATCTTCCTCTCTACCACAGAGTTGGAAGAAGGCTACCATAGTTCCCATTCCAAAACCAAAAGAACCAGGGAGGTACCGCCCCATCTCCCTCCTCAGCTGTCTGGCTAAGACGGCCGAGAGGATGGTACGAAACCGGC